ATATTGTCAGTCAAACTATCAGTCTTATCCTAACTAAAAAGCTAATTCATAGTGTGTGTCAAACCGTCAGTCATATTGTCAGTCAAACTATCAGTCTTATTCTCACTAAAACCATCAGTCATACACTCTCTTAAACTATGAGTCATATTGTCACCCAAACTCTCAATCATACACTCACTCAAATCAACAGTCATATTGTCAGTCAAACCGTCAGTTATATTGTCACTCAAACTGTCAGTCTTATTCTAACTAAAAAGCTAATTCATAGTGTGTGTCAAACCGAAGTCATATTGTCACTCAAATTGTCAGTCATACACTCACTCAAATCAACAGTCATATTGTCACCCAAACTCTCAGTCTTATTCTCACTAAAACCATCAGTCATACACTCTCTTAAACTATTAGTCATATTGTCACCCAAATTCTCAATCATACACTCACTCAAACCAACAGTCATATTGTCAGTCAAACTATCAGTCATATTCTAACTAAAACCGTAAGTCATAGAGGCTGTCAAACAGTCAGTCATATTGTCAGTCAAACTTTCAGTCATACACTCACTTAAATCAACGGTCATATTGTCATCCAAACTATCAGTCTTATTCTCACTAAAACCGTAATTCATATTGTCACTCAAACCGTCAGTCATATTGTCATTAAAACGGTCAGTCATACACTCACTCAAATCAACAGTCATATTGTCAGTCAACTATTCAGTCTTATCCTAACTAAAAAGCTAATTCATAGTGTGTGTCAAACCGTCAGTCATATTGTCAGTCAAAACTATCAGTCTTATTCTCACTAAACCATCAGTCATAACTTCTTAAACTATGAGTCATATTGTCCCCACTCTCAATCATACTCACTCAAATCAACAGTCATATTGTCAGTCAAACGTCAGTTATATTGTCACTCAAACTGTCAGTCTTATTCTAACTAAAAAGCTAATTCATAGTGTGTGTCAAACCGAAGTCATATTGTCACTCAAATTGTCAGTCATACACTCACTCAAATCAACAGTCATATTGTCACCCAAACTCTCAGTTTATTCTCACTAAAACCATCAGTCATACACTCTCTAAACTATTAGTCATATTGTCACCCAAATTCTCAATCATACACTCACTCAAACCAACAGTCATATTGTCAGTCAAACTATCAGTCATATTCTAACTAAAACCGTAAGTCATAGAGGCTGTCAAACAGTCAGTCATATTGTCAGTCAAACTTTCAGTCATACACTCACTTAAATCAACGGTCATATTGTCATCCAAACTATCAGTCTTACTCCACTAAAACCGTAATTCATATTGTCACTCAAACCGTCAGTCATATTGTCATTAAAACGGTCAGTCATACACTCACTCAAATCAACAGTCATATTGTCAGTCAAACTATCAGTCTTATCCTAACTAAAAAGCTAATTCATAGTGTGTCAAACCGTCAGTCATATTGTCAGTCAAACTATCAGTCTTATTCTCACTAAAACCATCAGTCATACACTCTCTAAAACTATGAGTCATATTGTCACCCAAACTCTCAATCATACACTCACTCAAATCAACAGTCATATTGTCAGTCAAACCGTCAGTTATATTGTCACTCAAACTGTCAGTCTTATTCTAACTAAAAAGCTAATTCATAGTGTGTGTCAAACCGTCAGTCATATTGTCACTCAAATTGTCAGTCTTATCCTAACTAAAAAGCTAATTCATAGTGTCTGTCAAACCGAAGTCATATTGTCACTCATATTGTCAGTCAAAACGTCAGTCATATTGTCACCCAAACTGTCAGTCTTATTCTCACTAAAACCATCAGTCATACACTCTCTAAACTATGAGTCATATTGTCACCCAAACTCTCAAGCATACACTCACTCGAATCAACAGTCCATAGTGTCTGTCAAACCACAGTCATATTGTCAGTCAAACTATCAGTCATATTCTAACTAAAACCGTAAGTCATAGAGGCTGTCAAACATCAGTCATATTGTCAGTCAAACTCAGTCATACACTCACTTAAATCAACGGTCATATTGTCATCCAAACTATCAGTCTTATTCTCACTAAAAACCGTAATTCATATTGTCACTCAAACCGTCAGTCATATTGTCATTAAAAACGGTCAGTCATACACTCACTCAAATCAACAGTCATATTGTCAGTCAAACTATCAGTCTTATCCTAACTAAAAAGCTAATTCATAGTGTGTGTCAAACCGTCAGTCATATTGTCAGTCAACTATCAGTCTTATTCTCACTAAAACCATCAGTCATACACTCTCTTAAACTATGAGTCATATTGTCACCCAAACTCTCAATCATACACTCACTCAAATCAACAGTCATATTGTCAGTCAAACCGTCAGTTATATTGTCACTCAAACTGTCAGTCTTATTCTAACTAAAAAGCTAATTCATAGTGTGTGTCAAACCGTCAGTCATATTGTCACTCAAATTGTCAGTCTTATCCTAACTAAAAAGCTAATTCATAGTGTCTGTCAAACCGAAGTCATATTGTCACTCATATTGTCAGTCAAAACGTCAGTCATATTGTCACCCAAACTGTCAGTCTTATTCTCACTAAAACCATCAGTCATACACTCTCTTAAACTATGAGTCATATTGTCACCCAAACTCTCAAGCATACACTCACTCGAATCAACAGTCATAGTGTCTGTCAAACCACAGTCATATTGTCAGTCAAACTATCAGTCATATTCTAACTAAAACCGTAAGTCATAGAGGCTGTCAAACAGTCAGTCATATTGTCAGTCAAACTTTCAGTCATACACTCACTTAAATCAACGGTCATATTGTCATCCAAACTATCAGTCTTATTCTCACTAAAACCGTAATTCATATTGTCACTCAAACCGTCAGTCATATTGTCATTAAAACGGTCAGTCATACACTCACTCAAATCAACAGTCATATTGTCAGTCAAACTATCAGTCTTATCCTAACTAAAAAGCTAATTCATAGTGTGTGTCAAACCGTCAGTCATATTGTCAGTCAAACTATCAGTCTTATTCTCACTAAAACCATCAGTCATACACTCTCTTAAACTATGAGTCATATTGTCACCCAAACTCTCAATCATACACTCACTCAAATCAACAGTCATATTGTCAGTCAAACCGTCAGTTATATTGTCACTCAAACTGTCAGTCTTATTCTAACTAAAAAGCTAATTCATAGTGTGTGTCAAACCGTCAGTCATATTGTCACTCAAATTGTCAGTCTTATCCTAACTAAAAAGCTAATTCATAGTGTCTGTCAAACCGAAGTCATATTGTCACTCATATTGTCAGTCAAAACGTCAGTCATATTGTCAGTCAAACTATCAGTCTTATTCTCACTAAAACCATCAGTCATACACTCTCTTAAACTATGAGTCATATTGTCACCCAAACTCTCAATCATACACTCACTCAAACCAACAGTCATATTGTCAGTCAAACCGTCAGTTATATTGTCACTCAAACTGTCAGTCTTATTCTAACTAAAACCGTAAGTCATAGAGGCTGTCAAACCGTCAGTCATATTCTCAGTCATACTGTAGTTCATACTATCACCCAAACTGTTGTTCATACTATCACCCAAACTGTTGTTCATACTGTCACTCAAACTCTAAGTCATATTGTCAGTCAAACTGTGAGTCATATTCTCTCTCAAACCTTGAGTTATACTGACAACCAAACCCTCATTCAAAATGTCACTCAAACTGTCAGTTATATTCCTAGACACATTCAAACTTTCAGGCATATTGTCAGCCAGATACTCAATTATAGAGTCACTTTTTTGTCATTAATGAATTCAGTTATAGATTCAAACATACATTCGGTCCAATATTGGATCATGCAGTTAATTCTACATTTTTTTAACTTGTAAGTCATTATTTATGAAAATATTTAAAATAGTGTAATTGCACAATGATGTGCAGTATTATCTTTAATATTAATATTGTAATATGATATTAGATTTTATCATATGAGATATTAATATTGATTTATGGATCACTGCACAATGATGTGCAGTATTATCTTTAATATTAATATTGTAATATGCAATGTTATATTCTAATTTGAATGTTCCTTTTTAACCTCATGATTTCTTCTCACTGATCTGCCTTTTTATGCAGCATTTTGTATTTAATCTCTCTTATCCTTTAGATTCTCTATGCTTTCCATCTTTCTAAACCAGATTCCATTGTTAATTCTTAAATTAACACAAATCTTAAATTTCATATTAGTCATTGATCTGAAGTTATTGAAACATCTGACGTCTTTAGATTATCTTATCTAATATTAAAATGATTGATCTATTTACATTTTTAAAATAGTCCTAAAAAGTCTCAATATTTATAAAAGCATAATAAAATTAAATTTTTTAATATCATTTTGTAAATTATTCGTTTACTTTATGGCATAGTCTTGAAAAAGTATCAAAAAACATTATCTTAATGGTCTCTAAAGAGGTTAAGTAGCATACACACAGATATGCTAATGTGGTAAAAAGAGATTTATTGGCAAAAGTCCAAAATAGTATATATTTATTTCCTAATTATAAGTCGATAACATATGATAATATATTATATACGATACTATCAAAAAATCAAAATTATCTTATTTCCTAATTATAAGTCGATAACATATTGTATTATGATTGTTTTGTTTAAATTATATGATGATATTTCTTCAATGATTAGTTTTCAAAACAATATCGAAGATTTTTAAATTTCCTCTCATATTTACTCTTATCCGATGATGCTCATTATTACTGAATGATTTTGAAACTTAATTTAAATGTATGATCTCAAATAAAGAGATAAATAACATCCATTTGTCCAAATTTAACTGTAAATATAGAAATATCAAACTGCATTAGAGTGAAGGGTTAAATATGTGTTCTGTGTTGTTTCTTTGTGTTTTTGAATTAAAAAATGAATGTATGTGAAGATAAAGTTTTTTTCTTTATAACAAAAGTAAATAAAAATAGCTTAGAACTTTGGATGATGCTTGTAGTGTGTGTGAAGGAGTTCGTGGGCGAGGTGGCCGTTTGGTTCACCAAGGAATTCCTTGTAAATTCCCTTGATGAGTGGGTTCTCGTGAGACTTTCTGCATTCCATCTTAGCATCGATGTTGTAGATAGCAGCAAGTCTGTTGTCGAGAGACATCATGTTCTTTGGCTGTGGTGTGCCACCGCCGCAGACGCAGCCACCTGGGCAAGCCATGACTTCGACGAACTTGAGGTCAGCAAGTTGTGGATCCTTAGCGCGAAGTCTGTCAAGGAACTTAGCTGTGTTGGCAATACCGTGGCAAACAGCGATCTTAAGCTTTGTGCCATCGAGATCGAGTTCAGCGATTCTTGTTCCGTCCATACCTCTGACTGGATAGATGTTGACGTTTGTCAACTTCTTGCCTGTGACAGCCTCGAAAGCTGTTCTTGAAGCAGCTTCCATGACACCGCCTGTTGCAGCGAAGATCTGACCAGCACCAGAACCGAAACCGAAGATGCTGTCGAATGGTGTATCTGGGAGATTGTTGAAATCAATTCCAGAGAGCTTGATCATCTCGACAAGTTCACGGACTGTGAGAACCATGTCTGTTTCCTTGTGTCCGTCCTTTGTGCGGAGTTCTGGACGTTCGATTTCATCCTTCTTAGCTGTGCATGGCATGATTGAGAAGTTAAGAACATCTTCAACTGGAATGTTGAGGACCTTTGGAAGGTAGTTCTTAACAAGAGATGATAACATGCCTTGTGGTGAGCGGCAGGATGATAAGTTTGGAATGAAATCTGGAGCAGATTGTTCAACATAGTTAACCCAAGCAGGGCAGCAAGATGTGAACATTGGGAAGACAGCGTTTGGATTTTTAAGGCGCTGAACGAGTTCACCGGCTTCTTCAACGATTGTAAGATCGGCGGAATAATTTGTATCATAAACATAGTCGAAACCAAGAGCCTTGAGAGCGGAAACCATTTTTCCTGTTGTAACGGAGCCTTCCTTGTATCCAAATGCTTCAGAAAGAGCAACACGGACAGCTGGAGCAACCTGAATAACGGAAATCTTCTTTCCTTTGTTGGAGAGGATATCAAGGGCCTGCTTAACTTGGGATTTCTCTGTGATAGCACCGACTGGGCAGTATAATGTACACTGACCACATTTGATGCAAGAAGTATCTTGGAGTGTTTGGCCGAATGTTGGCTGGATTCTCATGTGCTTAGCACGGTTACCAAAGATAATGGCTGATTGGCCAGCAACTTCTTCGCAAGCACGGATACATCTGCCGCAAAGAACGCACTTGGATGTATCGAGGCGGATTGAGTTTGTTGATTCATCGATGCCTTCCTCGGAGCATTCTTCCTTTGTTTCTGCCTTGATGGAATAGGCAACATTCATGTCACGGAACTGGCAACGGTGGTTAGCAACGCAAGATGAGCATGTTTCATCATGGCAATCGAGAAGTTCCTTAAGATTGTTCTCGACGGACTCCTTAACCATCTTTGACTTTGTATCAATCTTGAGGCCATCCCAAACTGTTGTAACACAGGCTGGTGCGAGCCACTTGCCGTCGCACTCGACAAGGCAGACACGGCAGGAGGCCTTTGGTGGGAGATTTGGATGGAAGCAAAGGCGTGGAATTCTGATGTTGTTGCGATCGCAAAGTTCAAGGATTGTTTCGCCCTTCTTTGCTTCGAGCTTTCTTCCGTTGACTGTTACGGTGATGTTACGTAAGATGTTGCTTGTAGAAGCAGATGCTGTTGCAAGCATTTATAAAAAATACTGGTCATATCGTGATGGTTTGATTTCAGAATCAATTTTGAGAGGTTCAAAAACTATGAAAAAAAATCTGAAAACCTCAAATATTAACCCCGATATGATAGTATGAAATTTTTATGCTATGTGGTCGTATTTGTGAGAGATTTCGCATCTCAAAACTCATGTATTCAATTTCATCGGTTTAAAGTTCAGAAATTATCTAGAAATGCTTGTCTTTACATAATAAATATAAATTAAAAACTCGAGTGTATCAAATTGAATTTTTGAATTAATAAGATTACTTCCAAAATCACAAATAATATCTGAATTCACTTTCCAAATTGATTTGATATATCGGCGGAAAAATTATTCTATGAGCTTTATCAAAAATAATTCAATTCACAAAGCGATAGAATATTCATCCAATCATCCTTCGTCATTAATAAAATTAATTTCCAGCAGTAGATATGCAAGAACAATACAAAAACACTTTTTCTAATATTCAAATTAATGGATTAAGACCAAAACAAGCAAAATTTTATCGAAATTTGTCCAAAGAATGAAAATTTATATAAAACTTCTCATAATTATATCATATTATTTAATAATGATTTCCATTATCCTCTATCGTGCAAACATTAATATGGAAATCTTGAAAAAGCTAGTTTCTATTTCAGCCAATATAGTTACTTTTTTTATCCTTCATAATAAATCTACTTTTGCATTATTTATCTGAATTATTTGTTTTGAAATATAGTTCCAAATTTAAATTCTCAATATATTACAACATGGGCTCGGATCTATGCAAGACTTATATTTGTATGAAAATACAATTGAACAGAATGACATATACATTGTTTTGTAACTTACGATTTTCGAGGAATGTTTTTTCCTTCATATTAGAAGTTATGCATGTGTTGCCTTGTTGAAAAACTACTAATTATATGTACAACTGAATATATAGCTATATAGAACTAATCAATTTAGAAAAATAAAATGAATGTTTGTTTCTCATGGTTTGGATACTGAGAATGCATTATTTTTAATATAGGTCAGCATCCTATCAGGTCTCTAAATGTTTGAAAATCAAAATATGAATTCATATTTTGATAATTTATGAAAGTATACTTGAACTCCAAATACTCAGATTGGTAATACGTTTCTTGTCTATTTTGAATATCATTTTTTTGTTCAATATAAAAAATTCAAAAAATCTTTCGTATATGATAAAATAGCTTTATTGAAACTGCGATCGCCAAAATATACTTAAGAGAGTGGGTCTATTGTCTATGGAGATTACTAGAATTTGAATAAGGTTATTCTCTAATTCAATTTTTGAATCTATTCAAAATAAATGAGATCCGAAAACAATGATACTACGGAAGCATCATCATCCTTGAAATGATGCAACAGTAAATATATGAGCATTGTTTAGGGTTCAATATAGTTTCATTTACAGCTTTAAATGCAAATTTTATTTTAATATCAATAAAGAATGTGAATTATTGTTTAAGAGAAAACTGAAATGATGATAGAATCAATTTTATTTAATAACTAATAATATAATTTCTCTTTACAACAATGAATACAAAATAATTTTTTCAATTTTTATATAAACATCGATTTCACCAACCAAATTTCAGACAATATCTTCTTGGTCACGTTATTCCAGTCAAGTATCACAATATTTCCTCAAAAAAACTTTATTCACGGATTTAACTAACAAATTTTGCCACTATTCATCTAAAAATACTATTAGAATTTGTTTTGGTTTCTATTATATCTCAGTTTTAGTGTTGAACCTCTTATTTACAGAGATGATACAAATCAAGTTGTTGTTGACTGTTCATCAGACCCTAGTGGTGAAGTCATTATCCTTCAAAGTGTCATAGAAATATATAGCAAAGGTTTCTCCGATTATGCTTTTATGAATTGTCAATATTCTATAAAAACTCTTAGATTCGAAGCAAACAGTCAACTAACAAGTATTAGTCCCAGAAGCTTTTCTTACACACGCCTACAATCAGCAGATTTCAGTGAATGCCATCATCTTGCAAAACTTAATGAATCGCTCTTTTGGGGATGCTCCTATTTAAACTCACTTAAACTTCCTCTATATGAATATTGCTTTTATCAAACAGTAGAACTAAAATCCATAGATTTGCCTGATTCTGTAATTTCCCTTTGGAATGATGTATTTTACAGAAGTGGTTTAACAACTATAAATATTTCAACAAACTCTAAATTAAAATTAACATACGGATATATTTTTTAGAATCAAAATTTACTTCATTTTTTATTCCAAAATATACAGAATCGATTAGCGCATCAGATTTCGAAGATTGTCCTTTAGAAAATATAACAATTCATCCAGAAAATCACTATTATAAAATTCATTCTAATACTGTGTTTTGTAAAAATGATAATTCAACTCTATTTAAGGTCCTTCCTGCATGTTCAGGAGAATATATTGTTCCTAGCTATGTCACATTCATTTCAGAATATTGTTTCATTAATTGTGCAAAAATTACATCAGTCCGACTTCAATACAACTATTCATCTATTAGATATGGTACATTTAAGTATTGTACCTCATTAGAAAATATTAACTTTCCAAATTCTCTAACAGAAATTTTGCACATGTCATTTTATAATTGTCGTTCATTAGCAAGTATTACAATTCCAGAAAGTGTTAAAACTATTGAACCATATAGTTTTAACGGATGCACTAATCTAAAAAGCATCACTTTTCTAACCAATAAAAAGACTATATCAATTGGAGAGTATTCATTTTCTGAAATTCCAAATCCAATTGATATATTTATTATTGGAAACTTTACGATAAACATTGCAAGTTACTATTAAAATGTATTTCCGAATGCAAGCAGGTTATATATTGGAAGCCAAACGATATTGTCAAACTCTACTAAATCATTTTTCGGAGAAAAGAGAATGATAGTTTACATGAGTAATATAGCAGATATTGAAGATGAACTAACTAATGAAGTCATAGATTATATTACTCTTGAGAAAATCATATTTATACCAGGAAAATTGAAAACACGAAGAGACTTTATTTATCATCAAATTAAGTGTTTTCAACTTGTAAGTTTACTCCCCAATTTCAAACGATGATTATTTTTCTCTTTTCTAAAACTTATATCATTTAAAATGTGTTTTAAATAACTTTATTTACAGCTTATTGGAAGATATTTTGTAAGGGTAATAAGATATTGAACGTGGAACATATCATGCTATAATTCTATGCAAAATAAGATATGCCGCATTTAAAGCATAATCATATCTGAATTATAATAAACAATATTTTCATCACAAAACTTTTGTAACTAATTCATAAAAATTGAAAGCATTGGACGTTTTGGTAGTTACATACATATTGGATGTTTTCCTAATTCATCTAAAACTATAATATAATAAATTTATATTAACACAAATTTTCTTTGAAAATTATAAATCTTACATGGCAGATTTTGCATTGAAAAAAAAATAATTGAAATCCTGGATTATTAGCTTCTAAAATTGGCATATCTTTGCTGAACTAATTTAAGAAGCAAGAGGTAAAGATAAATGATATAATAATATGATTCCAGAGCAAGAATTCATTCAGAGAGCAAAAATTGCGATTTCAAATCAAATTAATAATATTTTTAAGTATTCATTCCAAATGCAGGTGACCCTTGAAACTGTTATTTCATTAAATTTACTTAATTTTGTTTTGTTTTCTATTATATCAAAGCTTTAGCGTTGGATCACTCGGATATTCCGATAATGATAATAAAGTCATAGTTAATTGTTCCACCGATTTCAGTGGAGAAGTTGTTATTCCATCTGGTGTTACAGAAATATATAGTATTAGTTATAAAGAATATGCTTTCAAAAATTGCAAAGATTCAATCACTTCTCTTAGATTCGATTCGAATAGTCAAATCACTAGTATTAGCAAATATAGTTTTTATAAAACAAGTTTAGAATCTGTAGATATGAGTGAATGCAAAAATCTTAACTTACTTAATGAATCTATCTTTGATCAATGTTATAACCTGAATTCAGTAATTCTTCCTCCGAATATTTCAAGTATTGGAAATGGCTGTTTTAGTGGAGATTTAAAATTATCATCAATAGTTTTACGGGATTCTGTTCTCACACTTAACAATAATGCCTTTTCGTCTAGTGGTTTGACAACAATTAATATTTCAATCAATTCTAAATTAGAAAAACTTGATCAAACTTGCTTTTCTTATTCAAATCTATCTTCGTTTTTTATTCCAAAATTTCTAATATCAATTTATGATGTAAATTTTGCAGATTGTCCATTAGAAAATATAACTGTGCATCCTGAAAATAATAAATTCAAAATTGATCATGATACCTTTTCTGTTTTTATAGGAATAGATAATTCAATATTATTTAGAGTTGTTACAACATATCCATATAACCAATACATTGTTCCTAGTTATGTGACAACTATTAATGGGTTTTGTTTTTGTAAATGTTCAAACATTACATCTATTCAGATTCATGATAATGTTAGAGAATTTCATTCATTTGCATTTCAATACTCAACAGGACTGATTACCATTATTATCCCAGAAAAAATATCTAGGATTATTTCTCATCTATTCGGTCACTGCACATCTTTAACAAATATTACTATTCATGACAATGTAAAAGAAATTGGATATAGAGCATTTGAATATTGTTCGTCATTAACAAAAATTGCCATTCCAGAAAAATTAACAAGTATCGCTAATGAAGTTTTTCAATATTGCATGTCATTAACAGATATAACAATCCCAATAAATGTTACAAAAATTGATAATCATTTATTCCAATATTGCAAGTCATTGAGAAATATTACAATCCCAGAAAGAGTGACCGAGATTGGAATTTCAGTTTTCTATCATTGTACTAATCTACAGTGGATTTCAATTAAAGGCACTACATCAAAATTAGATTACAGAATATTTTCTAATTGCAATAATTTGGCAAGCATTATTATTCCAAAAAATGTAATTGAGATTGGAGTAGGTGCATTTTCCTGGTGTACATCATTAACAAGCATTACGATACCCGAAAATGTGAAATTGATTAAGAATGGAGCTTTCTATTGTTGTAATAACCTAAAAAGTATTACATTTTTAAGCAAAGCGATTCCAATTACATTTGAGAGCAGTTTATTTCAGGGGATTTTGATTCCAATGAATATTTTTATTCCTGGTAACTTTAATATATCAGTATACTATGAAAATGCATTTTATTATAAAAGTCATTTGTATATTACAAGTAAAACAATTTTATCAGAATCATGTAAAACATTCTTTGGTGAAAAGAGAATGATTGTTCACTTCTTAGATATGACAAAAGTTTCAGATTGAAGAACTGAAGAAGTCATTGAATATATTGCTATTGAAATTAAACATGCAAAATCGAAACGAAATATTTTATATGATAAATCCAAACTGTCATGTCTTGTTAATCTTTTCATTCCATTAAACAGAAACAACATCTCATGAATTAGAAGTATTAAAATTTATATGGTTGATCTTATTATATATATAATTAAGCTGATTTCAGAAACTTTATCTGAACTATGGAATCTGTTGAGGGTGCTATTACCTCTTTCTGATATTCTCTAAATTTTTTTAACTTGTGAATTAGATTTCACAGTAAAATGGGAGAGTAACAAAATTGTGCGGCCAATTTGACACCATTTTTAAAGTAGTTTTTTTGACATCCCCTGCAATTGCCGGGGACGTGCTTCAAAAAAAATTAAATGGGTGTGTGAGACCTTACAAAGCACCCTTTTGTAACCCACTCACAGTAAAATATGCCAAATTTATATTGACTAGGATGTTGTCTAATAAATTTGATTAAAATATAAAATATACATACATAGTTTTTATAACAAAATAAAAAAAAATAAAATTAGTTGAATGATACATCGAGTGGAACACTCATCGGTTTCTTGTCGAGGTAGAAAAGTTTGATTTCGTCGAAGTTACCACTGATGTCTTCAAATGTGTATCTCAAATAACTTCCTTGGCTGATCTTTGGGAGAAGAAGCTGTTGCCAGTCATATATTTTGCCGTTCAAGATGAAAACAATGTAAATAGACTGGAAATCGTCTGTCTTGAATGTGATAGACTGAACTTTTCGTGGTTGTGAAAACTTGAATGTCTGTGAGTGTGTCAAAAAGTCGAAAATTCCATCTGCTGGTTTGAACTTGTAACTATTAACTTTTTCTGGTGAAATCATCTTCTCTTTGTCTTTCTTCATCTTCTTCATCGTGCCACGAATTTGGATGTTCTTGATAACGATGTCTGATGTACTATCAAGAATAATGATGATGCATCGTGTAGGATCTGAGTCTGAGAATGTGTAGATAGCTTGATTTCCGATCTTTTTGATCTCTTTCACATTGAGTTCCATGAAATTTTCCGTGTAAACTCTGAAATCTCCGACCAAACAATCTTTACCAAGTAAAACTAAGATTTGCGAAACTTCCGCTGAACTCTGGAATGCTATAACGAGTTGTACATTCTTCTTGGACGTGTGCCAACCTTTGAATGCAATTGTCGGATTCAAAATCTCATTCAATTCTTTGAAATCACTTGGAGGACTTGAATAAAAAATAGAACTTTGAAGTCCGATATTGAATATTGGTTGATATGAATCGATGATTGCTGTCGATCTCTCTGCATATAAATCAGCAATCGTTAAATTGGTCAGAAGAGATTCATCGTAATATGGCAAACCATTAGTTTCCATCTGATCTGCACATGAAGGACACAAATGAACAGAGATATCTGGTTTCTCTGTCTCTGAGAAGCGTCGGAAGTAGTTCAGGAAGGGTTGGAATGCGCCAAACTTGATAGAGTTTGTTAATCTGTAATGGCAAAAACTGCATTCGTCTTCTCTTGTATCAGATAAGCGAGATGGTATATCAAAGAAATAAGGGTTTTGGTTGTTACGTACTAAGCTCTCATTTCTTGTGATAATCGATACTTTTTTCTCTAAAATCCATCGATCTAATTTTGTTAAATCTGACAATGATGGCATTGTCATGTTTTTAGTGAGTTCTGCAACACCCGCGCCTAACGAGGTGTTTGTATCACTCGATCTGGCTGCAATCATGGACTTTCTAGGCCTCTGAACTGCAATTTTTATATTTCCGATTATCAGATTCGAATCCATTGAATTAAATCTGATGTTTATGAAGTTGCATGGCTCCAGAGATTTGATTGATATGGGGAGAGTGGTTGTTTGGCCGACCAATTCATGGAAATTGTAAACACACCACTGAGATTCTTGTAATAATGGGAGAGAAATGTCAACAACCAGCGGATACATCTGGGTTATCAAGTTTCCGCAACAGATTGAGAAGGTTGCTGATTTGGTTGACGTTCTTGGAGGAACTAAAATTGAAATTGTCGACAAAAGTAAAGGTTCTGGCAATGCGACGTACAAATTTTGATTTGTAATGTCGTTGATTGCGAAATACTTGATTTCTTCTTCAAAAATTGAGGAATTTAAGGCAATTTTGAGTTCTTTTGAGGGAACAATTGCTGCTGAGAGATGTCTTGAGTCTAAATAGAACTGTCCATCGACATTTTCGGGTTGATTCCATATTTTGAACATCTTATGACGATAAGGATCTGATGCAACGTTATGAAATCGTCTTAAACATGTAATATAGACATCAGGAGATACAGCAGTCTGTTCTGTCATCAATGCTCGTATTGCCTCTGTCTTGATGGCCGGAGTATTAGTGTACATTAAAGATATAATATTTCCGGTCGAAATAAACGCGTTGCAAAGGAAATCTAGTACATCCTGGTTAATGTTTTCTGTGAGATCATCTGATTTATCACCTTCTTTTACGAATATATTGTGTTGGAGACCAAAATTATACGTAACTAAAATTGCGTAGTAAAAGGACACTAAATTTGTACGATCAAGTGAATCCGCGCAATTAAATCTACTGTATTTCTTTTGGTTTTCGAAGTTTGAGGTGAATTCGATCTCATTTACAACAGTTGCAAGGATATTGAAGATAACGAGCCTTCCTTTCGACTTGTTGTTGGCTATTATCTGGTTAATGTCGATCTGATTGAAGGAAATTTTGGAATTTAGAACCTTATTTGCTCGATCAACGGCTTTTATATAGGCTTGAAGCAAATCTACCTCTCCTTTCTCTTGTGCTTCATTTAGTAATGATATAATGTTGACTTTCTCCATATCAAATCGTTTAATTATTTTTGAAAAATATTCTGGAGTGAATTCATCAGGATTTTCCTTTACAATGTGCTGTGGAGCCAAGAATGTGGACTGAAGAACTGTTTTCCACTCAATTGGAGCGCTTCCTCTTCGCCATGTGTGGCCAAAATTGTCTCCATTGATTGTAAAGATGAGAGAGCATTCGCATTCGTTTGCAGGATCATGATTTTTGTCAAGGCCTCGGGCTTCGTATCTTGTTCCTGAATTATGTGAAGATCTTTTGATTATATAAGTAATATTCGAGTTTGTATTTGTATCTTTATGCAAAGAGAACGCACCACCTTGAAATACTCTTATACAGACAGCTGTTGTATGCAGTATTTCAAAGATTTTCGTAAATCTGTTGTTCCAGAAAAATTCATCTGTTGACTTTTTGACGTCAAAGTATGGAAAAGGTAGAGATAAGTCGACATAGTTGGAGAAGAAGTGGTTCTCATTCATAGGAAAGTCGAAAATTGTTTGGTCTCCTTCAATTGTTTGGTCAATTAATGGAATTTTGTAGTAGTCGGATGACTTAATCATTTTTATATGCTTGTTGTCATAAATTGCGGTGACTTCATCTGAAATTACGTACATAATTATTAATTGGTGGTCAAAAATTGTTGCTCCAATTAAATACTTCCCAAGGTATTGCCACTGAGCGTTACTGACTGAATCTGTGATGTTTATAATAGCAGACTTTGAGTCAAGAAACAAATCTACGTCAGGAACGCCGGCGTAATACATTCCGCCAGTCTTTTTATCTATTGTGTAGACATAACAGTTAGATGTGACTTCTGAATTTACGACTAAGTATGAAAATTGACCATCACAAGTGCACACATGTACTGATGGTGCACTCATGATAATATAAAATAAGATTTTAGAACGAAAAATAATACCTACTTCGGATTTAAAATTTAAAACATATATAATAGAGGCTTTGATGAGAGTAAATAATTTTTGTCGAATTTTGCTAATGCTATAAATTTGATATGGTTAGTAAATCCAAGACCATCCTCTATAATAATTTATATTACTGGCATAAATTTCGCTAGATCAAATCTCTTCTTGTAATAAGGCTCTACATTCTGGTAAAAGGTCAAAATTTTATTATTTGTGCCATTTCTCATCCCATGAAAGATCTAAATAAAAACATAAAGGATAAATATCCGAAATTAGAGTAAAATATGAAAGAATAAAGTTTATTATAAAAGAATAGCACTATCTATGAACTAAAAACAAGCTCTTGATCAATATCAAAATCAAATGAAGTATCGATTTTAAAAATCGAATCAATTGGATCTGAAGGTTGAAGCTGGCATGAAATTGGTAATTGAGTTCCTTGCTTAATCGTAATCGGAATTGGAAATGGCTGTTTTATTGGTTTTTTGCAGAAATAGTTGAAATATTTATCAGCAAGGAAAACTTCGGAAGGAGTTTTTCTTCTTTCAACAATTCCAAGTTCAACAAGGAGGTAAACAACTTGATAAAGTTTGCATAATGTTGATTTAAAACGGCCATTATCGCGTGCAAAAAATGATGCAGTCTCCTGCATGTTAAGCTGTTGGCGTCTTAATGATATAAAAAGTAGTACAAAATTGATACCGATTGAATGCATCAATAGTTTCTGTTCAGATGGGAAGAAATCGGAAACATTGGATTTGTTGAAGTATTTGAGACCGCGTTCAATGATAATATTCTCCAATGTTGGGATAATTCTTTCCATTCCAACCCATTTCACAGTATCCATATTTGACTTTTCGAGAATTCCAAAAGCTTGTAAAATGGAAGCAAGGTCATAGAAGCGTCTTCTTTGGAATCCAAATTTATCGCATACATCTGTGATTTTTATTGATACCTCTCCATTTGAATTGCAATAATCGAGAAATTTCGAAATAGAATTATGGAAACAATCACGTTGTTTATGGCCATCTATCTTGGACTTTGGCTCTGATGGAACTTTGTAATGGTTTTGACATCCATAAACTGTGAGAAAATACGATTCGATGTTAAAGGATGTAGTCATAATTTTGTGTGGTGTCAATTATTTTCTGTTTATTCTCAATTAGATAAATTTGAGGTCACATATATTTGCTTTTTATATGTCTATTGATAATTTGGGCAAATTGGATTTTGAATATTTTATTTCAATTTTGTGAACTGTAAAAATGTGACGTTCTTGGAGAAATATAGAGTAAATAAAAAGCAAAATGGCTATCAAACCATCCAATGATTTGTAAATTGTGAACGACGTCAATTTTTAGGATAAAAACGGTTTTATTCAAATTATAATAAACAGAAAATTTAAAAATGATCATTAGGACTTATTACAAATATATTTCATAAATTATTGTTTCAATTTTCAATTCTCAACTGTTTTTTTATTGTTTTTGTAAATTATGAAGTCCCATCACACTTTTCAATGCTCGATTTTTAAAAACTGTTTAAAAATGGAGCTTATATTGAAATAGCGTAGAGACTAAAAATTACCACAGACTATTTCAGAGGATTGAGTTGCCACTCAATCCTCTGAAAAGTCTGAGGTAATTTGCAAAATTATTTTAGGAAAAATTTTTATCAAATAATTTATTAAATGTCATGTTCGTGAAGGAAAAATAGTTAAGTCCAATTTATCGTTGTAAACAAAATTGTGTTAGAACGATTCTTCTGAAATTTAAAAATTTGTAAATAAGAAAATAATTTAGGATAGCTTCATTGCATAAACATATTTTTTTCGTGTCCGTAATTTCTTTTTCAATTGGTTACAGAATTTAATTATCAAAAAAATCTAACATGTGATGAGTTTGTATGAACCGAATTTCGATGAAATTTATTCTGAATTGAAATTTCTTATTTTTTACAAATCCGAAAATGAAAAATTAAATTCTGGATATTTCAGATTGTTAAAATGGTAATACATATAGAATAGATTACAATAGCTAGTTTTTATTGATGGATATTTTGAAATTTTTACAATGACAACCTTTGATTTTGTTTATCCATCACAAATATTAATTCTGAATTGGCCAATTGTGTTAACATTAATTGCTGATACTTTTACCAAGAAATCACATATAAAAAGCGTTATGGAAAACTTCCTTGAATTAACCAAAAGTAGAAATTGTAAAGAATGGCCATATTTGTATTAGATAAATATTTCATTTTGATCTTTATTAATAATTTTTGCTCTCCTTTTTACAAATTCTTAACATTTTTACGAGATTACAATCCAAAATTAGAGATAAATCTATCCTTTTTAGCAATTTAGTAATTGGTGCTTATGTATTTACTATAGTTAAGGCATTAATCTATATAAAAACAAATATAATCAATATTTAACAAAATTAAAAACAACATTTATTTTACGAACATACTGTATTTCTCAATGAATTCATCAGTGAATAATCTCTTTTGTTTGAGTAAAATATCAACTTGTTTTGAGAGTTTTGCCCATGCATCTTGTAATCTCCTTGGTAATTGCGCAAATTTTACTTGTTGGAGTGCTTTGAACGCATTAATACCAATATATGTATGTAAGAAGCATGTTGAATTCGATCTAGCAATAACAAAGAAGAAAAGAGTCATCAGCCAATCATCACTTTCACAAATCAAAGAAAGAGAATTAACAACTTCAGCAATAACCCACATCCTCTCTCCAAGCGATTTTTCATCAAGAGAATCCATGATTCTTGCGAAATTCTCAAGTTTCTCTTCATTGTTTCTCACGAAATTCTTGTATTTCTGCTCTTTTCTCGTGATTTTTCTCGCAACTCTGTCAAAAACTTCTTTTTGTTCAAGCAAATCATACAATTTCTGGTCTTCTTCATTCGAAACATCAAGAATGGCAAGCGATGGTAAAAGTACATTGCGAGGGCAGTCCGCAGGCAAGAAAGTTAATTTCTTTGCTATTGCGATATTCAAAATTGATCCAAAACGGTTTTGACTGTCAGAAATTTCAATCAAACGACTTTTTTGAGTCAATCTTACCAAACAAGTTTCGAACAACTGCTCGCTCTGTATGAGGTTAGAAAGGGCTGCTTCGACAGCATATTTCTTGAGCTCATCTGTTATCATTTGGCTTGCGTATTTTCTGATTTCGAGTTTCTTAGGAGTGTCAAATTGATCTAAATTATCAATTTGCATAATAACATTTAAAGGATCCAAACCTTCGTTTCCTGCCATCTTGGAAAGGCTCAACCACTGTCTGGAGATCTCCTTTGGAGGCTCACCGACTGTTATATTGTCATCGCAGAACAAAACAGCAGTTACAGGCAATTTTGGAGGCAAAGGAAAGTAAACATCGATGACACCTGGTTTAAATGAAGAGATTCTACTGTAATTCTGGAGTCTGGATACATCTATCTTGGATCCTTCGAACGTTGGCATTTGTTTGAATATGTTTACCGCTAAAACTGTCTCAACTGGGGAGAAAATGTATGGAATTGCACCTTTGACTGTGTATTCAACGAAAGAAGTTGGTTCACAAAGTGAAGACACACTCTGTCCGAATGTATTCGCTAGCATATCGAAGGATTTCGTGTCAGTGTTGTTGCAAATAAAATTAAAAAGTTGTAAAATTTGAGTTTTGCTTACTTTGACTGTATTAATCAATGGATTTGATGAAGCATATGTTGTGAATGATTGCAATAGTACTTTGAGGAAGAAAACTTGGCAAAAACAATTTGGATCTGATGTAAGTAAATCCATGGACAAAGCTGTATGAAATGGAGATAAATAACGAATAGTAATTGAAAGTGTTGATATTAATATATCGTATAATTGCTTCAATGAAGGACGATTTCGTATTTCTGCGGCTTTTGTCATAAAATTCTGCCAAAATGTTTCAATGAATAGAATTGATGATGAAAAGAATGATGCGATTAATGGTCTGGCAAATTCAATTTCGCCAAGTTGAATTAAATAATTTAGAAACTCATAGGCAAAAGTAAGATGTTCTTCAGCAATGAAATAGCCTGAAATTGATGGGAATAAGACGCAGGCAAAGAGATTGTACTCTTTTGGCTCTTGTCTGAAATATTGTAAAGCTGCGTTTGCAAATTCTTTTGGTTTTCGATATGCGCCTTTAACATAAAAGGCAACATTCTGTAAAAGCTGAGGATCATTAACTAACGTATAGAAATAATTAACTTTATCTTGAAATGAATCAAAAATGTTCTTTAATGGTATTATTGTCGCAATAGTCATCTCATCATCTGCTAAAGATGTTAATATAGAATTCTGTCGTGCAATACGTTGAATATCTACAAGATTTGTTGATAACGTTTCTGAATTTCGGCAAATTATATCATTTAAAAAACCAGAATGATCTCTTTTGCTCAAAACTGTCTGATACATATCATTTACGTCATAGTTCTGAAACTCAGACGACTTTGACCGAGAAGAAATCATGAAAATCTTTTATTTTAAACTTACAAAAGTGACGAATAATATGAATGTTTGGATTTACTTCCATTTACACTACCAATCATACTATTGTATGAGAATGGAATACTTGCATGAACAGCATTTTATTGTTTGGATTTTGATCAATATGGAAGTAAAAATTGTCTTAAAATAGCTTTTTCGGATAAAGATTCTGCAAATTAATACAAAATACATATCAAACATTTATTAAATATAAAATATATGTGAAATATCATCATTGGCAGAAAATAATCCTGCAAATAACAAATAAAGTACAATTCAAGTATCACAATAATTCAGAACTGATGGCAGTGCCATCAGGAGCTTTGCATTGTTTAATAATTAAGTCAACTGTTGTATAATTCTTATGATATTGTAAAGATTCGTTCGGCATCTGCTTTTTCTCAAGTAACTCTTCGTATTTTTGCTTTACTTGTTTCACTTTTTCTTTATTTGTAATAAAAGTAAATAAAATTCCGCAAAAATCAAGAATTGCGTAATCAGGGACATGTGCACATGTATTGGGTGGTATTATTGTACCATTTACACGAAAAATAGCTGATCCAGTATTTTCAATGTAAAATTGATAATCGCAAAGGAATGAAATGATTGCTTGGTTACTAGAAATATGAGTACAATCTGTATCGCTAACAATTGACAAGTCAATATTAACATCTGCTAAATACCGTCGATAACCTATTGAAACGCGGCTATTAACCATTCTAAAATAAGCCTTTTCTGATAGAAAAATTGCTAATTCAGAACCATTAAAATATGGTGTTGTAATCATTGGTAATAAGGATTCTAATTCGTGTATTTCAGAATCCCTTGAAAATGGTAGTTTTGGTTCCTCATGTGTCTTACATTTATAATGTGATAATATTAGCTCATTTCCGTGAGATTGTAATGATTCAACTATAAATTTATCAGTAGCGATTCGTTTTGCCATATCAGTCAGTAATTTATCGATGTCTTCTTTCGAATAGGATCTTATTTGTTCAATTCTTTCTAAGACTTCTTTACGAGATCGAATTGGATTGATAATCGAGCATCGATATTGAAAAACCTGTTCTGGTGATAATGAATTACTATTAGCTATAAATGTATAAATCCAATAATCTTCTTCGATATCCCATGGAATTTGAATTTCAGGTTTCTGAACTGAATCATATACTCTTTTCGGTGATTTAGGTTGCTCCATTAGTTGGTGAAACCGATTTTCGATATCTAATTGTGTGTAATCGTTATTAAATCGATAACAATTCCGTATTTGTTGAAATGGAACTGCTAAAGCCCCATCAATCAGTGTTTCATCGTCCTCTGGATTGAATTTCCCCTCTGTACTATCCCTTTTTTGGTTCTTTTTTAGATAGGAAAAGATGGATGACATGAGGGAAGGGGGATTAATGGTGTAAGACCCAAATTAACTAAATTTCAAAAAAAATATCAAATATAAATATTCGATGATGATAGTATTGGTTCATCGAAAAAGATGCTAATTGTTTTCTGAACTCACTCAAACAAACAGGAAAAATATGCCATATCAAAATGCAATTGTTTTAAATGTTCACCATGCTGCTAGAGAATAGATACATCTTAAAGAAAAGAAGTACGAACTATGAAGCATGGCCTTTGACACAATCTAATTACAATTAACTTAAATATGAAAAATATATTGTTTAAGGAAGATTATTCAGCATCAATAAAATCATATAAAACGACAGTATCCCAAAATTTCAATCAATATATGTTTATTAATAATAATTCTGTAAAATCGAGTAAAATCTGCAATACTCGTGTGTGAAAACATTCTATTTCTATACTAATATATGTTTAATGATGACCGCATTCGCCATGATCGCCATCACCACCAACAGATTTGCCGCAGGAGCATGAATGTAAGTTGGATTCTGTTGGGAGAACGATCTTGAATGTGGATGAGAATCTGTCGCTTGTGAAGTCAAGAGTAGAATTTCTCAAGTAGAGTAAAGCCTTGTCATCGAGGACAACTTGAGCACCATCCTTCTTAAAAAGATGATCTCCCTTTCTGGCAGCATTATCGAAGCTGAAATCATACTGGAAACCTGCGCATCCACCAGACTTAAGGCCAATTCTGAGCATTTTGTTCTCAAAGTCACCCTTAAGGAGTTTCTTGATCTGAGCAACAGCGGATGGTGTCATATCGAAGGCTGGCTTCTTCTGTGCAAACGCGCGGAATGCTTGAGATAACATTGACACTTTTTTATTTGTCTACTTGATTGGTTGTGGAAATTTTGATTATAATACTATTAGTAACAATATATATTTGTGGACCCATCAATTTTGAGAGTGAATTCAAATTGTTCTCCCAAATAAAAAAGTGTCTTAAATTTTTCCCAATTATCTTATCACTATGAAAAAATAGAACCTTAACATATGTTAAAACGATTTTTATATACAATCATTCATAAAAATGATTTATGCAAAATTTCAAATGGAAAAAACATTAGTAATTTCTGTAAATAGGAAGTTTACAAGGTATACTAAATGTGGCGGCTCTGTGTGATAGTCATTAAGGCTATCTTACATATGGATAGACCTAGGATCAACATGATTGTTAACTGAACCTTCCATGTGATCATATATAGTATACTTCCAACATTTGTATCATTATATGTATCTTGTTATTACGTAGATTGCAAGCTGATGCATATAAATTTCGTAAAAGTAATTCGAATATAGGGTATTCTGTAAAAATACTAATGATTTAGATCAGTATTGATTACGAGATCTTATTAATTTTTGATAATTATGCCGTAATTGAAATTCTTGGTTTAAGATTTATGTATGATAAGCGTTTTATTTTGTTGAAGGAATTTTTTGAAGATAGTCTTGATAACTATCCATGATTTTGTAATATCCCAAGACGTTTCTGTCAGAAAAGCGTTGAATATAATTAAAAATATATTAAAAGGCCAAATTGATGCATCCAATAGCATTTGCTTTACTTGTTACACGCTCTAGTTACAATATTAAGAGATGAGAAAATTCCAAATTTTTTTCAAAATCTTAAAAATGATTTCCAAATCTTCATTTTCTCAAAATGTTTTTTTATTTTTGAATTTTTTTTGGAAATATTTTTAATAAAATTCGAATTTTCTGAATGATACTACATTAAATAACAATTTTAAATCGGTGATCAAAACAAGTAATTGATAAAAATTACAATTTACACTTTATTTCAGCATATATTCTTTAGATTTTATTTGATATTTTTATTAAAAGATTTTCAAATCAAATTTTGGCAATCAAATGCACTTTATTTAAATATAAGTATGAAAACACATTATAAATTCATAGTGGTCTATTATAAAACTACTGCTTATTTTTCAAATCTTCCGATATTCCATTGTTGAGGTTTATTTTGAATGTACACATCTATCATTCGTTAGTCCATCGATAAAGTATTGATATATCTTTCTCATTAAACTCCTTGTAAAGAATTATATTCGTTGATCTGTCAAAATAATCAATAAATTACTGTGAAACGTAATTGAATTGAAAGATGGAACCATTCCAAATTGTTGTTAAAGATCTTCCACCTGGAATGGATGCTACATTTGTGGCCAACTTCCTAGGCAGTGCAGGTCCTGTTTTAGAAGTTAATGTCAATAATTTAGAAGCGGTTGTAACGTTTGCTTCAAAAGAAGCAGCAGAAAACGCGATGAAACAGTTTAATTACTACAAATTTAACGGAAATCCGATCAGAATGATTAAAAACGATCCAGAAACACAAAATATAATTCAACAACAGAAAGGCATCATTATAATTCATGGTGTAGACCAAGATGTTGATATCTCAGAAGTCTACCAATTCTTTTCCCAAGTCGGAGAAATTGTTTCAATTCAAATGATGCCAACAGACTGGGGATCTTTTACTTTCGTAATACTTCAATACAGAAATCCAGCAGATTCTGAAGTTGCTCGTAGCAAATTGAACGGATATCTAGTCAATGGAAAACCAATTTCCATTGAAGTCTTTAATGCTCAAGCTAAGACTATAGGTGACATACAGATAGTTACACCATCTAAACCCGTTGTTCAAAATACAACTAAAAACATAAAAATCGATAAAACGGCAGAAGAAAAGAAATCTCAGCAAAATTCTTCAGATTCTACGCAATCGGTCGATCAACAGCAAGAACAGATAGATCTCGCCGCTTTAGCAGGTCAAATGCCTTTACCTTCTCCTGCATTACAAGATATTAAGAAACAAATCGATCAAGAAAACCAGCAACAGCATGAAAAAGCTGTCAAAGCATTACAAGCTCGCCAAAAGGTCGAACAGCCAAACTTCCAATACGAAAATATACCAAATCAGGAGCAAATGATGCCAATGGGTCAATATCCACCTTACGACTATATGTATTATGGATACCAGCAGCCAATGAATCCCTATTATCCACAACCGGGCATGTTTAATCAATACGAAATGCAAGGATATCCACAACAGATGCCATATCCAGGATTTACCGGCCAATCACCACCTAATCAACCATTCCAAGGATTTACAGGCCAATCTCCCCCAACCCAGCAATTTATGGGTCAATATCTTCCAGGATATAACGGACAACAGCCTTCAGAGCCTTACCCACCAGAAGAGAAGCCTAAACCACAGAAGGAGGAACCAAAGATGCCATCTCTGTATCCAACAATGCCTCTTACAGAAGAAACTGGAATTTTAATCCGAAATCTTCCAAAAGAGTACCAGGATACCGAATCTTTCAACAAATTAATAGCAGAACTTGGCCAATTCACAGGTTGCTCCATTCTTGAAGACGGCGAATACATTTTTGGCATTGCAAATTTTGTTGATGGCTCAACAGCTCAAACAGCCATCAGTATTCTTTCACAGCAATACCATCTTGAAGCCGGTCTCTCGAAGATGGCTTCCGAGTTCATTGCCAAACAAGGGCCGTCGAGAAGAAGGACTTTGTTTGTTGGCGGATTAGTTACAGATGTTACTGAAAAAGATTTACTCAATTTCTTCAAACAATTCGGTACAGTTGAGTCGTGCGGTATCAAGAAAGATAAAGATACAGGATTGTCTAAAGGAATGGGCTTTGTCTGCTTTAAATCTATAAAATCGGCTGAAAAATGCAAGAAATCGTCAGGAAAATTGGATTTAAAGGGAAAATGTCCATTCTTTACATACTTCAGAGGTCCGGCACCTAATCCATCGTCGATCCAGGAAATGGAAGAGATCAACAAAGATACAAATCACGATGAGAATAAGATGCCAACTCCAGATTCACTTGACTCAAAATTCATTCCAAATATGACAAACATTGATGAATTTGGAATGGAAGGAAAGTAATTGTTGATGTTTAATATAAAGATATATATGTGTTTGTGTGTGGTTTTCAATCTCATATTTTTTTTTTGAGTGGAAGTAGATAAATTTTTCAGAACCAGACGAGAAATATATGAAGGCGAGTTGCATCTAAATATCAACTCAATTTTTAATGCTCATTCAAATTTGAAATTTAGTTATTTAGTTATTTACATTTCAAATTTTAACAGACCAAAGTATGCAGGTACTATCATTATCCTAGCATAAGCGACTTCAACTCAAAAAGAATTATAGTAGTCTCGGGAACACGAAAGTAAGGTAGTCACAAAATCTAAGTAGAAGGGCTTTGAAATATTGAGGGGTTTTGAAATTTTGACTCTCAAAATTTACACTTCCTCACTCCTCGAATTCCGAGCCTTTCAATGAATTTCCTCTCACTACTCGAATAGTTTATATTGACTTTTGAACACCTTTATTGAGAACAAAAAAATAAATATATTAAGAATCGGATTGTCCAAATTGAAGGATATAATTTTTTTTCTTTAGCCTATAAATCAATGTATTATATTGCATTCATTGTCAAATCAGTAGTTACACATAATATTAGAATATAACACTCTTGCTGTCTACAGATACAAATTTTGATATGATTATTTTGTTTAAAGCTATTATGCTTATAGTGATCACTTATTTAACATGTTGCATAACGTATCTATATTACTATTATTATATTTTAAGCATCTTTACTCAATATAAAAATTTATTGGAAAAATTCCAACTTTTAATTAATCTAAGTTGCCATCTGTGATGTTTCCTATTCGGTTACAACTATTAAAGCTTTAATAAAAATTCCAATTCAAAATTTCAATATTTTTCAAATCGATCAATACTGTTACATATTAAGTTCTGTCAAAATGTAAGCTATTGAATTTTTTGAGAGGGAAATAATCGTCGAGGAAGTAAAAAGTGGCACTTTAGGAAATATTATTAGAAATATGATAATAAATATATTTGGAAAAATATGTTTTTTTTTCAAAAATTGAAATGTTCATAGAATATTTTGAAATATGTAGGGAATTGAATTCGGTAATATATGATAAACAGGATTTTTAAATTTCAAGGAAAAATAGCTTTTGTGAATACTTTTGAGAACTCTTCTCAAAGATCATGATTCAAATATATTAAGGAGCCAAAATATTAGAGATGAGTTCACAATCAAAATTTTACATTTTAATTATTTAGAAAAACGTATTAACCTCAATAAAAAAAATATCTCAAAGATTAATAGTTAATTTAGGGTTTCCTAGCTATCTAGAGAATTGTTCCTTATGATGTATATATTTATAATGTATGCATCATAAGGAACAATTCCTCCTTAAAACGAGAAAACTTGTTCGAAATTGTTTATCATTTTGAACAAGTTTTCTCGTTTTTAATAACAAACTAAAGGCTATGAGGCACTGATTATATATTAGTGCCTCATAGCCTTTAGTTCCCAGTAGATAGCTGGGAAACTTTCTCCAAATGATAAGTTATTTAGAGAAAGTTTCCCAGCTATCTAGAGGGAATTGTTCCTTATGATGTATATATTTATAATGTATGCATCATAAGGAACAATTCCCTCCTTAAAACGAGAAAACTTGTTCGAAATTGTTTATCATTTCGAACAAGTTTTCTCGTTTTTAATAACAAACTAAAGGCTATGAGGCACTGATTATATATTAGTGCCTCATAGCCTTTAGTTCCCAGTAGATAGCTGGGAAACTTTCTCCAAATGATAAGTTATTTAGAGAAAGTTTCCCAGCTATCTAGAGGGAATTGTTCCTTATGATGTATATATTTATAATGTATGCATCATAAGGAACAATTCCCTCGCTGAAGTGAGAAAACTTGTTCGCAATCATTTCGCATTGCGAACAAGTTTTCTCACTTTTAGTTCCCTGTAGAAAAGATCGAAATTTTATTCTGATTTTAACTGATCTATATTTCGCTTGCGTTATTTGAATCTTTTCTTTTGCATATGTCATTCCTTTCACTTTTCGAATTTCATTTGCCTGCATGCTCTCTCGTTTTGGTTGAAAATCAACTCAATCTTAAAATGAACTTCTTCATTCTTTACAATAAATTCAATTTTTTTCGAGATATATCTTTATCTACCCCTATGTGAGCTGCATATTCTTTCTCGCTAAATTCTTTTGATTCTTCAGAGCTAAAAATCAAGTTTAATAAAAATAATGTTTATTCATAATTTTGAAAACCAAATTCAAATTTGAATGAGAATTTTTGAAAAAAATATAGAATATTTCAATAGTTTGGAATCTCTTCAACTTCCCACTGCTTATTAAACATTTTTTCCAGAGCGGTTTATCATCCTTGGTCCATTTCTTAAATTTGTTGTAAACCTCTCTTGGAGTGTATGGTCGAACTCCAATTTTTGGATGAGCGCCATGTGGCATGTCATTGTATTTTTGCCTGAATTCTTCCAATTCCTGATTGATGCTCTCAAATTCTGAAGACTTTGGAGCATTTTTGTCCAGTGATGGCCAGAGGCGTTCAATTTTGCCATTTTGACGTGGCATGTATGGAGCTGATTTTCTGATTTGAATGTCATAAGTACTCAAAAATTTTGTGAACTCTCCCTCATTTTCTTTACCGTTATCTGACCAGAAACAGAAAGGTGCTCCATATTTTTGAACTGTTGCAATTGCCACTTTTGAAGTTTCTGTTGAACTTTTGTTACGAAGCAATTTCAATGCTAACAAATAACGACTTTTGTCATCAATTATTCCATAAACCGGTAAAGTTTCTGGTTCTTTCAAAAAATGAATATCCACATGCCAGATTGTATTTGGAAGAATTGCTTCATAATCCACATAATATGCTTTTGGATTACTTTTATCTTTTTCTTTGTAAATTCCCAGAAATTTTGCTGCCTTAATAACTGCATTGTAACTGATTTGAAATTGTTTTGGATTCATATTGAGAGTCCAATACAATTTTTGAACCCCACATTTGTAATTTTCATAAGAATTCTGAACCTTCAAAATTAATTCTGGAGTTAATTCCTCTTGTGGAGGACCACTTTTAATTTTTGGTGTACCACCGATTTCTTTGAATGCTTTTTTGAGAGTATTTCTTGAAATTTGTTTGAAAATTGTAACATTTTGATAAGAATATGGAACTTTTTTCAAAACTGTTGCGTATGTTAACTCACCATAAGGATGTCAATTCGGAAAATTGTTTTCATTTTAGGAGAATATAATTTTCCTTTTCGAAAATTTAAAAAGTGAGACGCGCAGGATTCGAACTTTTTTAAAAGTTGATTTAAATATATTCTAGTGTGGATTCTAAGGATAATATCATATTTAAAATAAGAATATACTAGTTTAGGTGGTATAATTTTTTTCGATAAATTTGAGAGCATGTACGTTTAGGACATCAAAAGTGTCAATTCGCTCAGCGAAAGCTGAGCTAGCTTCGTTCTCGAAAGAATAGGGAAGGAGTGAAAGAGAGTGATACAGATGTTGACACATTCATATCATTTCAACAAATTTTGATCAAATTGAAATGCAATGAAATTCAATTCACTTCATATCCTTCAGTCAGTACATTGACATCCTTCTACATCACAATGATAACTCGTGCATCAATAGTTCTACAACTAACTCAGAAAAAACAAGATTTTTCCTTCCAGCTTACAGCTTTTAAAAAGTTTCGATGATAAAAATCACTCTACTCTTGTTTATCGATATGTTGTGATAGTAGGTAAACGTATTCTTATCGATATTAATAAAAATATTTTTACGAAAATCTGAACCAATTACAGAGTTATTCATAAAGTTTATGATAACTGTAATTACTTCATCTTTGTTTTATATTTGAATAAACAATTTAATTTAATTTGCATAATTTTTTTAGTTGAAAGACAGGAAACTTAGTTGAGTTTGTATTATTTTTATCGTTCAATTCATTGTATGTGTGAGTGATCCAGATATTTAAGATATTTAGAAAAAATTATTAATTTGATTAACAAATTTTAATCAAAATAGCAAAAATCTATTTGATAGCTGTAAGCAAATAATAATTTCTATTTCAATCAAAATCACTTATTTTCATCTAAACGTATAAAATTGTCAATTTTATGAGAATAAATTGAAAATCTCATGAAATATAAAGGAGAGTAATATTTTTCAATTTTCTTTTTTTCTTTCTCTCAAATATTTTCTATTGGGAATTTTCTTGTTATCAAAAAATAATTTTAATATTTGTTTATTTCATTACATACAATAAAATTTTAAAAACTCTATTTCTTCACAAGAAAATTTTTTTCCTTCATATGAAGAAACATTTTGTTCTCCATTTGATACTGAGTCTAAATCTCGATTTTTGAATTTTCTTCTTTCCAAATTTCTTTTTTCCAAATTAGAAGTTTAATTCAAAATTTCAATAGTTTATATATTTTCTCAAACCGTCTCAGATTTTCTCATTTTTTAGGTATTTTCTCTCAAAATATACAAAAATAGTAATATCAAGACATGTGTCTAATATACTTTAAAACCATCGTGACAAAATTCAAAAACGAAGAGTTCTTCTCTCCAAATTTTTTTTCAAAATCAAAAAAATGAGATAAAAAAGTTCGTTTGGAAAATTCATTTTTAGCATTTTAGGAATTTTCTCACTTTTCTTCCAAATTGACATCATTATAGGGTTGTTAGATTCCCGACGATAGGTGTCTTGGAAGATTTGCCTGGTGTCATCATAGTGTCTTTAAATCAAAAATTTTATTTTGGAGTTAGTTTTATTGATTTTTCAATAAAAAACATTTCTAAAACAAGAAAATAAAACGATAAAATATTTATATTTTATATAAGGATCTTATATATTTAAAATAAATATCATTTTATTTTTTTCATTGGTGTCTGTCAAACCATAATACACTATTCAAAAATTCAATGTGTCTTGCGGTTTGAAAAGACACCTTCAAATTGAACGATAGCACAGACACTATTGAATTTTACCCATTG